ACATCTCCAGCGGTCTGAACGAAACTTCCTCGGAGAACAGTAGGTCTAAATTAACGATGGCAAATAACGGTCTAGGTATCGACAGATAAAAATATCTATTGGTACGTAAAACATAATGCAAATGCGTAGTTTAGAATTTCAAAGTGTCAGAACTGGTGGGCCAGAATTACTTTATCACTTTTGGTATATACATATAACATTGTGAACTTTTTCGTATTGTTGCCAATATTTGAAGTCTATCAGAACCCAAAAACTACGCATCTACAGTGCACTTATGGTTCTAAAAGAAAGATACAGAATCGTTAGAGGCTGTGACTTGTAAACTAGATTTTAACTTCTTCTTGAATCATCGGTTTATAACTTCAGGTTTGAATATGCTGCACTTTTGCTTTACAGAAGTCATAAGATTGAACAGCAAAGAGAAATAAAACCAAAAAAAAAAAAACTGCTTTAAAATAAACCTCCTAAACTTAGAACTTTTGCAAATTCTGAGGTGTCGATAACATTTCATTGGATAAGGGAATAAATTGGAATATTTAAAAGTTCAAAATTAAAATTTTTAACAGACATAAGTCTTTAGATCAGTTTTTAGGAAATAAATATTGTGATAAATCAATTTCGTATGCATATCTGCTGATGTATACTGCAATTATTATTTGCTGAAAGAAACTGATGTAATCGCTCATCTATTGTCGCCGCTATCTGTACTTTGTCCCAGTTTCCATCGTCTAAAAGATACACAAATCACCTGTTTTCTGCACCTAAAAGTTTGTCTTCGATAAAAATTTAGTGCAGTGTATTATTCATACAAATTGATCATTTGTGTTTTCCAATTTTCACATGCTGTCAACGAATTTGGAATAGCTGTCTCCGTTAATTGTTAACTCTGCTTCCTTCTGCCCTTCTTGTCTCTTCCATTCACTTTTCACATTCTGTAAGTTATATTGCCTAACTTTTTTAGAGCACTTTGTTGTGAATACTAAAAAAAAATTTTTTTTCAGGGCATCAAAAAGCATAGAAACACAGAAAAAGGCAAAAATAATTATAACAGTCACTAACACCTGCAAAATGTAAAAACAACAAAAGAGAATGAACAAAAAGATAAATAAATTTGATTTCAGGTATTTTTGTCTCGAATAGAAATTTATATAAATGTTTAAAAAAGCTGAAGACCATAAAACAGTTAAACCAAATAAACTTATAAAACAGTGAAAGAAACAAGTGGTTTTCTGCTGATCAGAAATAGGAATTGGACGAATAAAGCCAATAAAATTGGGAGAAGTGAGAAAGGAAAAGAACAACAAACAATACAAATTTATTTTTGATCACGAACTTCAGATTTAAATTTGTTTAGACAATCAGAAAAGTAGCCCACAGATATTTCGTTTTCAACCTTCTCCCATTCGCCGATCCACCATCATCCTTATCCTCCGTCCTTTATTTTACATATGATTCTACAGGAGCGATTGCGAATTCACATGTCCATCGCAATCATTAGGTCAGGAATGAAAAATATGTCAAAAAAGTTAGAAATTTTGAAAGAGAACTACAATGAGCTGAAGGATGAAAAATTTCTGAGTTTTTATAGAGCATAATCTGGTAGAGAATTGACTTTTTTTTGGACTTATCCAACTTTTCAAGTCAGGAGCCCGACTTTGCTAGTCAAAAAAATTTTGTAAAATTTTGAAATATTGCCCCAAAAAAGCCCACAATTTTGGTTCCCTTTTGAAGCACTCGGAAATAAGATATGACCAGCTCTGAATGATGGCGACCATTATCTGCAGCTTCATGGCATGCGTATTATAGAAGGCGCAATAATTCTGGGAATAAAAGCTGGCCACTATATAAAAACTCACTCAACAAGTCTTTATTTGGTTTTTCTGACACATAAAACGCTATTTTCGTCTTCGTTGCTTTCCTTATCCAACATTATAGTCAGATGATGAGGCAAATACGGTACATCATAAACATTTTAAAATTCTTCAACTTCTTTTTTCCGGGTAAATGATCTCTTACAGTACCATTACAGCAGAATTTCTTTTTCTCAATCCAAAGAGGAGGCTTCATCATTTTGAATGTGTAGCTAGCAGTTATTTGCCGTAATCTTTGAAATACCTTTACAGTGCCTATTGTGACATCACTGGGAATCGCAAGCATAAAAGAAATAGCAGTTGATCACTAATCTATTCTTAACAGCAATTCTTCGATCACTGCTACTTGTCTCCATATTTAATGCCACGCAGATGACAATCTATGCATTGTTTCAGTGTGTAAGCTGACTCAGTCGGAGGTTACATGACAACTTATTTTGCAATTTCCTAGGGCTTCTTCTTATAAGTTGTTTTTTTGATAGTTTCTTATGTTTTCTACATTTTCATTTCCAAATTTTTATTGCAGTTTATTCACCTGAATTTTTTAAATATTCATTTGATTTTCGTAAAAAAATTTTCTGAGGAGTAATCATTAAGTTTTTCTTATCAAAAAGCTCAGACTGAATAATATTTAAGGGTTTCCTCGTCAGGAAAGAACAAAATGTTTTATAATACTAAACGATGCCCTGATTCTCTATTTATTTTGCCACTTTAATTTACTTATCTATCCACTTTTTTGTTTCATATATTTTTAAGGTGCTGTTTGACAGCCTATTTTGTAACTTCCAGTACATAAGCTTCGCATTTGTCTGAGATAGTTGGAATTATTCTTCATGATTCTTATCTACATCGAAGTTTCTCGTATCACTTTGTGTCATTTTTGAATTAGAATACGTCTTGGTCTAAGTGCACTGTTAAAAACAGCACCTTTGCTAAAACTTAATGATCTAAACAAGCTGTTGTTGTGCTGCTGTAGCATAGTAGGGTCAAGTACTGTGGTGTATAGCAATTAAGAATTGTGCATTATCCGAAGTTTGATATAGCTTAATAAAAGGAAATTATTGCAGGCTGCAAATTTATAGACGATATGATGACAAAAGCTGTGCAGAAAACCCACGTTCCAAACAGTTAGAAAGAAATGGAAATGGAGTAAATGAAGGAAAGAATAGGTGCGGTAAAGTAAATGAGTATATCGGGTTTGCTGAAAATTTAGAATAAAAGCTAGCATATATATTTGAAAGTTGGAAATCATAACTGACTCAGATTTTGGCAGATGATGCATAAGATATTTCAACTTATCTGGGCTTTTTTTGAGGTCGAATGTCCCCTTTCTTCCCCCAGCCAAAAACAGGTCTCTGTTTCTCTTCCTTAACTATTTCAAGCTCTTCAATTACCAAGGTTTTTTCAAGCTCTTTAAGTACCGAGGTTCGCATTTGAAACGTGAATTTATGCATTAAATGTTATAGAAAAGAGGTTGTAAATCTCTACAAAAGAAACTAACAAACTTTTACAATTTTTGATCCATCATCCTGCTGGTATTACAAAAAAAATGTTATTAGAAAGAGGAGCCTCCTGTCTGATACAGCAAAAATTTTAGTGGAGCACTGTTTTTCCAAAATCTTTCTTCTAACTGCCTCAGAATGGACTTTTTCACCCGAATCTTTTGAAAAGAGAACCGAATGAGTTTGCATTCGCATGGTAATACATCTATTAACTTTTTAAACACTTTAAATTTTTTTGTTTAGTATTTTTTTTACTATATATCAAAAAAATTTTTTTTTCAAGTTGCTAAGAGAGAACATGAAAAGAGCACGATAAAGAGTTATGTGGGAAAGCAAGCTAAGATTCTATTAAAGCTGAACCCTGAGTTTTTGCACACCGACCAAAGGCGGACAATCTAAATGCTGAGCCAAAATTTGGTTGATTTTTAGGAATCATAAATTTAATTAACAAATTCTGCTTAATCCCTCCGTTTTTTTAAAGCGAAAAACCTTCAAAAAAACTACAATAAGATACTGTCCATCGGAGAAACTCTTTTACTGACGGTAAAAGCGTAACAGTAGTTCCGCTGAAAAGTAAAAGAAAATAAGTGATTTATTCCCTCCCAGTAAGCAAATTTCATTAAGAAAATGTTGAGCTTTTTTAAATCCATCACAGCCTGATCGATTCTATAACCCTGCCGTTGTCGTTCCTCTGCAAGAATCTTGCTTTTAAAATTTCACTACCGTTCAAACTTACAGCTTACTTTTGGCCCTTAAAACTTGCCTTCTTTAAATTCATTTCTTATTACCCAGCAACTTCATAGACCAAAAAAGTCATAAAAAATAAGCTCTTTCCAGAAACCAATAAAATTACCTCAAAACAAATTGTTTACGCTTAAGAAACATACAAATTCTGTATTAGAGCTAGAAATACAATTCAGTACCGAAACAACCAAAATATCATACCACTCGCTTTCAATAGAGCAGTCACAAAACAAAGCGATTTTAATTTAGACTGTAGCTGCAACAAGCATAAAATACAGCAACAATTTTTAGGCACAGTAGTAAACATTTAAAAAAACTTCCCAGCAAGCATTACATATTGAAAGACGAAGTAGAGAAGAAAAAAAGGAACAATTAATTGTCAATATCTTCCAAGTCTTAACTTATCAACAAGTTGTTTAAAAAAGCTAAGTAGTCAATCTGGTTAAATACTGTACTACAGAGTAAAAAAAAAAAAAAAAAAAACAAGAAACAATATTTTTAATAAAACTTCAAAACCTTATTTACAGGTTTCACTTCCAGCGACCTTAAATACAGATAGTAAATTCAAGTCCTTCAGGCTTCGAAGACAGTGGCACTAAAACTGTGGCTTTACAGTGAAAGAATTCGTATAAAGAGCCTTGTAAAAGTGCCCCAGTTGAAAAACAGAAACCAAATCAAATGTTAAGCCGACAAACTGCAATTCTGACCCTGAAGAAGCATCGAAACAAAAAGTGAAAATTCATATTAAATGTAAAGAAAAAAGGGGAGAACCTCTGTTCCATAATGGAAAAAAAATCAAACAGATCGACTTATTTGGCAAACGAAGTGTATACACAATCAAAACTCAAAACTTTACAAACCTAAAAACAATTCCATTCAGCATTTACTTCTTCCCGTCTTCAACATCATCAAGCAGTGAAGTATAACGAGCATTGTTCATTTCAAATAAAGAACTCGTGCTTGCCAGCTCCTTCTCAAATTCATCTAATCGTCGACGAATCGAAGCCAAATCGTATGACTTAAACCACAGATTCTTTATGTCAGTAAAAATAAAAATTAATAATAAAATTTCCCTTCTCCTGTCCAAATCAAGCATACGACAACAATAAAGAGGTAATAATAAGAAACTAAAAAATTTATCTGCAAAACCAGGATGTCGCTACGAACCACGTTTTTCCTGACTTCGTCTAGTGGCCGAGCTAGTGTTCTGTCACCGGTTGCAGTGAAACTTGCTAGTGAGTTTTTCAACAAAGGAGGCGACTGCGGTTTATCCATAAACTCCGTCGACACACCTTTAATGCAAGGACTTGCACCGAAGCTTGCGCACTTTTTGATTGAAATGATGTCACAAAGCGCAATCCTTACATCTAAAAAGGAAATAACAAATAGGATTTTTGAGGACTCGCAAGCATTTCGGCTTCTTGACAAAAATAAATACCGAAAGAACTAAAACTAAAAAGACTACTTCAAAAAAACCACCCAAAAACGACACGTTTTCAGAGTGCCAAAAAGTAGGAAAAGAATGACGAGAAAAATTACAAAAACGCAAAGCCAAAGAACTAAAATGCGTTTATCTTTCGGAAATGCCTGCACCGGAAAACTGCAAAAATGAATTCTACACTAGTACACCTGCTATCTTGTTTGAAAATTCCAAATACACCAAAAGTCATTCCACTAGCCAAAAAACTACTCAAAACAAATACGAATGGCTTGACAAATGCAATTATTGAACAAAACTTCTTTCTGAAAGCGACCTTCGTTTAAATTTGAGACACTAGTAGAACCTGAAGCCAATGGTCCTTGCAAATCGAAACCGTCAGCTGTTTCTGAAAAATTCAACAATATCCAGATGCTTATGTTTATATACACCATTTAATTATTGCTTTGTGAAAGCAACATTTTTACAATAACCAAACAGAAAGCCCAGATTGTAGAAGTAGAACAAGTAGCAATTAAATTCTTTAACAGATTAGTAATTAATAGAAGTGCAAACCCCGCTTTTGTAATTGGAAGATCATAAAATCATCTCACTGTAAATGCACCTTTTATTGGCATTTCATGCTTTTCAAAAATACAAATTTAGAAGAAATAAGAGTAAGCCCAAAACTTGACATCCAGACCCCAATATTCCAAACTAAAAAGAAAAATCAAAGTGCAATAGCACCTTCTTCCCATTTATCTTCATTCATCAGCAGCTTGCATCGTAGGGATAAGTCACCTTTGTAGCACATTGGATAACGACGCTTTCGACTATTTATACCTTCGTTAAAAAAACTCTGAAAACAATGCTATTTTTGAAAATTACGCTTATATCCTTTAGTAAAAACAAAGTTTCACTTTCCAATGATTACGGACAAAGTACACTAAGAAAAAACCTTGAAAAAAGAAGCGTTATCTCTTCGACGCCTCGTCCATTCTTTCCAATGAGAAAAAGCCTTCTCAGTAATCCTTTTAGTACGTTTTTCCCTCCAAGTTTCCATTATACCTTCATATTCACTGCTCATCCCCTTAATCTATTAAAGTTTGCTGCTAACCGCGAATACAATGTTTGGAAGAGACAAAAAATTACCATTAATAAATCGTAATTTAATTTTGATTTGGGTGAACGATACATGGTAAGTTTCGATTTTGCTGGAAAAAAGAGAAGCAAATTATTAAACTTCCAAATGGCAAGAAAAACAGTTCTAAAAAAAAAAATAAAACTAATCCGTAGGAGAAGCCAGATATGTGCCTGCAAGCAGAAACAAAGAAGTGGCCGAATGTAACTTCATGACTGATTTCAGTCGATGGACAACTAAATTAACCAAATACTAACCTGGCAGCACAATGGGGAATCCGTTAAGCAGCTGCTGTGCCTTCTTTAACTTTATTTTTTTTCTAGAAACATGAAATCTCCATTGGTCAAAGAACTGTTTTAGCCATAACCTAAAAATGTAAATTTTAACAAAATTGGCAAGCTCATAGTTCGCAAAAGCAACTAGAATATATAAACTGAGGCTTTAATGATCAATTTACCTATCCAAACGATCACAAATCTCATTACATCTCCTCCTCGTCTCAAACGCCTCATCAAATACACGATTACAGATACACTCCACCTCTTTGCCAACTACTTCAGCAAGAGCATCATTATACATTTTACCGGATAAATGATCTAATGACCTTTTTTTTCTATTGATCATGCTCAGACTGAAAAATAAAAAAACCTTACATTAGAGCTATTCATCTTTCTGCTGCATCAGTACTGCTAAAACAGCACAGGTGAATTCAGCGCAGA